TGGCGAGCTGTTAACAAGGACGGAACCATTCCTGAAGTCAGATGTTCGAAGCGTGAGGAAGACATGATCCTGCTGGCTTCACAGAAGTAAACTGTCATGTTGTGAACGGGAGGCCTCCAGGAGCTTAGCCCAACCTCCAGCTGACAGCCAGCAAGAAAGCAGGGTCTGTGTGCTGCCCCAGGAGGAGCTGAATCCTGTAACAGCCGGAAGGAACTGGAAGAGAACCCTGAGCTGCAGAGGAGAAGCCAGCCCAGCAGACACCTGATGGCAGCGCTGTGAGAGGCTGACAGATGACCCCGTTGAGCTGTGCCTGCGCTTGTGACCTACACAACTGTGCGATAATAAATGGGTGCTGTTGTAAGCTGCTAATAGTGTTTATTGCTTCTGCAACACTAGAAAACTAAGACAAGTATCCACTCTTTTGTACATGACTTCTTTCATTAAACATTATGTGTATGCGTCATCTGTGTGCGTGTGTGTGTGTGTGTGTGTGTGTGTGATTTATCCATATAGTTATATAAAGCAGTGGTTCATTCTTTTCCATTGCTACGTTTTTATTTTCTTGTATGAATATGCCACAATTTATTTGTGCATTCTGTTGGTGGGTACTTAATTAGGCTCTTTTCACTTCTTTTTATTTCGAGTAATACAGCTTGAGCCCTCATACATATCCTTTCTGTGAGCTATTGTCAAAGATAAACAAAGCCAGATACTAGTTAAAGTAGTAGAGGCAGATGTTAATTAGTAATATACTATTGCAATGGGAAGAGAGTCTAGCATGAACTGAACCCAGCTTTGTTTTTTTTTAAAGGAGGATTTTATTTCATTATTATTTTTTAAATATATGTTTTTATTGATTTCAAAGAGAGAAAAAGAGAGGAAGAGAGAGAATGAAGCATCAATGAGAGAGAAACATGGATTGGCTGCCTCCTGCATGCCCCCCACCAGGGATCGAGCTGCAACTCCAGAGCATGTGCCCTGACCAGAAAACGAACTGGTGATCTCATGGTTCATGGGTCGATGCTCAGCCACTGAGCCACACCGGCTGGGCTCAGCTTTGATTTTTACAGAGAAGGCATGGTTTTTTATAGGGAGAATGGGCGAGTAGGGGGAGGGGCCAAGCAGGGACTCAGCAGAGTCAGGGAAGTTAAAAAAGTTACAAAGGGTGGGTCAGTATGAATGCTGACTGTGCCGCCTGTGTCTGTTAGCTGCTTATTACTGAAGTTGGGATTCTGTCCTCCCACAGAGACTGGGAGACAGAGGCCCTATGCTTCCTGATGATTGCATTTTACAGGAATGGCTTTCAGGTTCTTGAGAAAGACACTCCTGAGTGGTAGGAGACATATATTATCTCAAAGGGACAGAGCGAGGATTTTCAAGCATAAGGCCTTTTTAGTAAACGCTAAGAAAGGGTGGGTCGCCAGGGGCCTGTCCAAAGGTGTTGGCTAGAACAATAAATTCTTTTGTCAGCCTTGAGTTTTCTCAAGTACTTTCAGCAGGGCTGGGCTCATCCTAGGGATGCAGCCTTGAGCCGTCAGAAACTATGTTAGTGTTTAAGTCTTTTAATGTAGGAAGGAGTGAGTGGGCTAAATAATTTATATTGAGGGTCTGTAGTTTTTATAAGCCAAGGTGAAGGTTGAGTCAAGAAAGGCGCTCAGAGGAGCTTGCCTAAAGTTTGTTCAAAGACAGAAGTTTTGAACAGTACAGGGATGGGCAAAAGTAGGGTTACTGTTGTTCTCATGGAAAATAATAATATAAGAATCAACTCTGTGTTTTGCATACTCACAACTTTAAACCTACTTTTGCCTGCCCTGTATCTACCTGGGAGAGGAATTAGTAGGTCATGGAGTAGGCCTGTGTGGTGTGCTGTAGAAGACACTGTCAGATCATTTTCCAATGACTGCACCTATGTATATCCCCTCCAGCAGGAAACCAGAACTCTGTGTATTTTGTGTGCTCTCGTTTGCTTGTTTTTATCCTCACCTGAGAATATGTTTATTGATTTGAGAGAGGAAAAAAACTTTGATGTGAGAAATATCAAATGGTTGCCTCTCATTCGCGTCCTGACCAGGAATCAAACCCGTAACCTAAGTATGTGCCCAACCAGGAATCAAACCCACAATCTTTTTTGGTGTATGGGACAATGCTCCAACCAACAGAGCCACCCACTCAGGGCTAATGAATTTAAATTTAAAAACTGAAGCAGTATAAAATGTTTTCTATTAAATGTATTAAATGCAACTTTTCCTTTTGATAGAATTATCTTTCACTTTAACCTAGCTTACTATGAGGTTTCATTATGAACTAGAGGCCCAGCGCATGAAATTCATGCACGGATATGATCCCTAGGCCTGGCCTGTGATCTGGGCCATCTTCCCCGGCTGCCCACAGCCAGCCCTGCCCCCTGCCGCCACCCACCCCTGGTTCCCTTTTCACCATCGGGTGATTGGTGCCTGACGGGGGGGAGGAACTGAGAGGTCAGCTGGGAGCAGGTGTGTTTTGCAGGCCAGCCACGCCCACATTGGGGTGGGGGTCCCTACTGGGGGGTGAGGCCAGTTCCTTGTGGTGTTCTGGTCTCTGGTCATTCCTGTCGTGACACTGGCTTTTTATATATATAGTAATGATAAATTTAATCAAATGCTTTTTCTACCTCTATTGAGATAATCATATTATTTTACTTTAATCAATAATTTCAGGAGGCAAGTGCTCAAGGTAACAAAGAGTCCTGGAGGATCGTCCGCGGCTGCGAGAAGCATCTTGGTTTCCTTCTGTGTTTAAGTCCTTGCGGGGAAGGGCTGTCACAGCCGCCGCTGCCCCATTAAATAGTTATGTACATCGCAGAGTCCCAGGCCGTGGGCAGACAGGGGAAGGGGGTCATTTCACCAGGGGCCGAGTTTTATCATCATCGCCGCACTGGTGGGCTTTGTACTTTTTCACTTCTGCCATGTACTTGGCCCATGCATCACCTTTACTTGTTAATACCTCATCCTCCGTCTTCTGCTTCTTGGCTACTATTCCCGTCTTGAGGGCTAGTGTGTTCCCGCCTCTGTGCTTGCCCACGAAGCTGAGCATGGGGCCCGGGCTGCCCTTCCTCTTCGGATCCCGGGACCCCCGGTGGCGGCGGTCACTGGCTGGTCGGGGTCGCGGTGATCCCCGGAGGCGGCTCCTCCTGCCGCTGCCGCTGCTCCTCCTCCATCTTCCCCTTGAACAGTTCCTAGGAAGCTGCCGTCGTTGGTGAACAAGTTCATGCCGCCCGCACGGGCCCGACATCTCCTGTCCCTGCTCTCAGCTGATGTCCCAGGCCCCGACTCAGCCCATCGGTTCCCACCGCCACTCCCCGGCGCCGGGAGGCGCCTCCCGGCCTGGAGGCTCCGTGTTGAATTACATTTATTACATTTTTATATAGATTTGGAAATGTTAAATCATTACTGAGTTGTTGGGGTAAACCCAACTTGGTCATCATTTATAATCCTTTATGTGTCACTGTGTCAGATTTGCTAATTGTTTTTTTGTAGTTTTACATGTATGCTCATGAGAGAGATTGGTCTGAATTTTTTCCTTTTTGTAATATCTTGTCGAATTCTTTAATCAAACTTAGGCTAGCTTCATAACACAAGTTTCGAAGTGTTCTGTTTTTCTCTATTCTCTCAAAGAGTTTTTCTTTTTTAACATTGGTATTATTTCTTCTTTAAACATTTGGACATAAATGAAGTCATCTAGCCTAGAATTTTTGGGAGGGTGGTTTCTAAGTACGGATTCAGTTTCTCTAATAGGTGTAATTATTCAGATTGTCTTCCTTCTTATGTCAGTTTCGGTAAATCATGTTTTTCAAGAAATTTGTCCATTTTATCTAAATTTTGAAATTTATTGTCAGAAAGTAGTTACTGTAGGATTTTTTTTTTATTTCAAATATTGGTCACTTGTGTTTTCTTTCTCTTTTTTCTTAGCCATTCTTCTTAGGTGGTTATCAATTTTATTTGTCTTTTTAAAGAAACAATTTTTCCATTTTATTTCTGCTTTGTCTATATTGTCTTTCATAATCTCTTCTTGATTTTTTTCCTTTTAGTTTCTTTAGGCTCAATTGGTAGTTCTTTTTCTAGCTTCTTGAAATAGAACTTAGAGCATTAATTCTCAAGTGATTAATTCTAATCACTGTGTTAGCTGCATCTAGTTCTTTTGTTATGCCATTTTAAACCATCAGTTTAAATTTACTTTTAGTTCTTCTTTGATCTATAGGTTGCTAGGAAAGCATTGCTTCACCTGAGCTTTCCCGTCTGGCGATCTCATTTTGAAAATTCCTGGTGTTATTTTCTATTACTGATACCTAGCTTAATCTCACTGCTGTCAGAATACATACTATGTATGATTTCAGGCCTTTGAATTTTGTTGATTCTTACTTTATGGCTTGGCATAGCACCAACTTAGTAAATGTTTCATGGGCTCCAGAAAAGAAAAATGTGTATTCTCCAGTTCTTGGGGGGTGTTGTTCTACAAATGTATTAGTAGTGTTTGCTCAAATCTTCTGTATCCTTACAGGTTGCCAACTATATTTCTAACCAACTGGTTATAAACAGGGGTTCACCACACGCCCCTCCTTTGGTTAAATAATTTGCTGGAATGGCACAGAACTCAGAAACACTAATACTTGCCCTGGCTGGTTTGGCTCAGTGGGTAGGGCATCAACCTGTGGACTGAAGGGTCCCAGGCTTGATTCTGGTCAAGGGCACATGTCCGGCTTGCAGGCTCAATCCTTAATAGGGGGCTTGCAAGAGATAGCAATCAATGATTCTCTCTCATCATTGATGTTTCTATCTCATCTCTCCCTCTCCCTTCCTCTCTGAAATCAATAAAAATATATTTAAAAAAAACCCACAACACTTACCCTTACCAGTTTATTATAAAGTATATAGTAAAGGCTACCAATGAACAGCCCGATGAAGAATTACAGAGGGTGCAGTCAGAAAGGGTCCCTGTGAAATGGGGTACCATGCCCTGCAAGCATGAGGATGGGCGAGGGTGAGGGTAAGGGTTAGGATTAGGCTGCTAGATTTTGTGACTATTGCAGTGCACAGAGAGTCTAGGTTTTGTTTCTTCATTTGAAGAATATTAAATAGGCAGTAAAGAATGTATGGAAAGGCAGTAAAGTACTTGCATATCAATTTATTTCTCCCAAGGCTTGTTTTTAAGCATCTTCAGGTGAGTCTGTAATAATCTTTACTAATGCCCCTGGCTGGGGGTGGGGGGAGGTGAACATCTCCCAGTCCTGCAAAAGCTTTCGATATTATTTAACCTATAACTCCCCAGCAGCTTTTTGCCCAGCCTCATGCAGTTTCTCTCTGTGCATCTACATATTAAACAATACGCTAAAGGGCCCTCTGTGCTTATCTCTGAAGCTCTTTTTCTGCACAGCTCCCGCCTGTCCAGGACTCTCCCTCACACATTCCAGCTGCCCAGCCCTCTCAAAAGCTCATCTCTGTCTTTTCAACCCAATGAATCACCTGTGCTCAGCTAAGGTTTTTCCTACCTGCGCTGTGATCTGGAAAAAAGTGCCCCGGGGCAGAGGAAGCATTTGTGATCTAGAGCTTAACTCATTTGCTTCTGTTCTCACCTTTATCACAGTTCTGCATGTCCCACTGTCCAGCACCTGGAAACACTGCTTCATATACTTTGACTTCTAGGGCTTCATGGTGGGGGATCAATCCCGGAATGAGTTGCCTCGTTATAGCCAGAGTGAAACTCTGCAAATGACAAGTGAACGCCTAGAATGATGGTTCTATGATGGAAGAGCATAAAGGGGAAGAGATGCAGAGGCACCTGTATAACTTGATGTAAATTTGCCAGAAGTTTAAGAAATGCATTCTGTTTGGGAACATTTCCTCCTCGATTTCAAAATGAAGTCAATGGGAATATTAAATTTGTTTTGGAGAGTTAGAAAATGTTGCATCCTTAGGTTACTATACGTTTTCCACTAAGTGAAGGCGAATCTGGCAGTTTTACTGATATTGCAGTATTGTTCATTTCCATCCATGAATGGTGAAGCAGCAGCTATTGCCGATGCCAATAACATTTACTGAAGCGCCTCCAGTGAACCAGGCACTGTGTTAGACTCTTCACGTTGATCATTTCTAACCGTGTAATTCAAATCTGCAAGTTAGAAAACCCCGATCCCCCAGCACGCAGGGAGGTGAAAGAATTCCTCAGGCGCACGCGCTCAGACCGAATTACCCAGGGGTGATTTATGGCTGCGGCTGGGAAACAGTCTCCGCTCACCACTGCCACTGCCTCCTCCCATTGGTACGCTGCTCCCGAGTCATCTTCACCTGAGCTTTCCCAGCTGGCCAATGACAGTGGAACGCAGTTAACTCCCTCCCCAGAGAGGCTGTTATTATATACATGTTCTGCACTATTTTGCTTTGAATAACAGCATATGTAAATGTGCTCCTGGAGGTTAAACTTATTTTTATTTTTTAAAACTTGGCCGCTCCGGTTGGGGTAGATAGTTGAACATTATGGGGAGGAAAAGGCAGTTTGGAGGGAACGTTTAGTCGGCTTGGGATTGCCTCTCGACCTTCCTTTCTGCCCAGCCCGTATTTCCATTCAGATGGAAGCTGCCACGGCAGAGTAAAAATTAGCACATTTCCTATCACGGAGTCCTAGCGGGCCCTGCTATTCAGTGTCCAGAGTGCGTCCATCCAGATATTAATCATGAACTCTGCTTCCGGTGGATGTGGAAAGGCAGATGTTCTTGCTGAGAAGAATAAACGCCTCCCATGGCACCTGGAAGACTTGATCGCACATGGTTCCCAGCCAGATCCCAAAGAGACTCTGGTGGACACAGGCATTGGCTGCCTCTAACCACCTACCTCTGGCTCGGAGTTGGCCATATACACCCCCCTCCCCCGACATCGGCTCTCCCTTGGGCCCTGCGTTGCTGAGCCCTCCCTATCTTACAAGGCCTTTCCTGGCATTTGAATCATCACTTCGGTGATGTGATAATATCTGCACGTTAGGAAAATAGAAGTGGCATTTGTTTAGCCATAATTAATGAAATATTTATGTTGCATGAGACTATGTGATAAAACCTTCGGCTTAGAGTCCTTTTGCTTCTGATTACATTTGGGATTTTTTTTTTCTGTGACCAGACATTCTGACGCCAGCTCTTTTACACTGAGCAGATGTCATGTAGTAAAAATGGGTACCAGATGCTGTGAGCCGCAGAAAGGCGATTTGTTTAAGGGCTGGCTCTGACTTTCATTGCATGCAATTACTCCACAGAACAAACCTTACACACAAGCATTTAGGTAACTCAGCTAACTTCGGGCAAGTATTTTAATAATAGATTTCATCTCTGAACGCATTCAGGCAACCCACGGTATAAATGGTGCTTAAGGAATTAATTGATTTCTGCATAATACCTTTATTTTCGACGCGAAGAAAGAGCTGCAAAGCTCTTGGCAGGGACCCAGAAGTATAATTAACGTGGAGGGCCAACTTTTCAGTTGCCCTTAGGTACTGCCTCTGCCTGCTCATGGCAGGTGCAGTGAGGGGAGGGCAGGGAGGGAGGGAAGCGGGGCAGAAAGGAGGGGGGAGAGGCAGCTTTGGGTCACGAAGTAAGAGGAGACGCTGGGAGTTCAGTGAGTTCTTGTGTTCCCCTTTCAGGTCCCAGGCACGTCCCCATCAGGGCGCAGGTGACAGGGGCTGCCTCTTCTACCACCTCCTCCTCGGCAGATGAAGAATTTGATCCCCAGCTTTCCTTGCGGTCAAAGGTAACCACACTTGGCAAACAGAAGGGGGCCTTGGCTGGGGGGGCTGTTTACCCTGCAGACGTCAGGCCCAATGTGGGCTCCAGCTGCAGCGGGTTCATTAGAAGGATCACATTTCCTTGCATCTGACAGCACACGGCTCTGTCTACCTGGGGTACCCCAAGAATCATCTCTATTTTCTGTTGTTAACTTTTATAGGCTTGCCTTTCTCAGAGATGTAAAACTGGGGAGGGGAAAGAAAACAGACGTATTTCCTTGTAACCATTTGGTGACTACAGCTCTT